CAACCTTATAGGGAGACACAGCTCATAGCGGACGGACGAGCGAGATTGAGCGAGTGTGTCATTACGCACAGAGGAGAAAGATGAAACAGACACTTAAATCATTCACCTGTTCTATTGTAACTTAATTTCCCAGAGTAAAGTGTGCTCTACACTGCAGACTGTAGTCTTTGTTAACAGAATGTTTCTGTCAAAACAGCTTCAACGTGCGATGAGTGCGCACTGATGTCTGCATGTCCGCTCACCACACTCACTGCTCTAATTATAATAAAGTGTTAAAACGGTCATAACATGTCTGTGTGAATTTTTATTTGAGGCTTGCTGTCTGTTGAAGTAAGAAATGTCATATTTGAATGTTAATACAAAGGCCTCTTACTAACAATTGTTAAAATCCCAAAGATTCAAATTAATCAATAGATACAGTCAGCATCGCGTCATAGTTGGGGGCGGGGCCTCCAGTGGGGGAAAAGAATCACAGAAAAAAAAAAGAACTACAAAATGATTACTCGAGTACTCGCTTTAACAATGGGAAGAGAAAATTTTGCATTTCTACACCCCTAATTCATAATGTATAAAGAAAGAAACCTGTCTCCTAACAGTGACCTGTTTTAAATAAAGTCCTGCTTATAAGCTTGAGATATTTTTTTTTCAACATTCAACATTACAGAAGTGTACAAAGCTTCAGGAATGATGTAATTATTGAGTTTCGAATCTCACCTCATCCTTGTACTTGACAATGTAGGAGTAGATCTCATGTAGGGCTGACATGCTGTTGAACTGGTTTGCATGCAGGCGCGACTGCTCTGCGAGGTACGCGCTCATGTCCTGGTCACTGATGACCGGCATCCTGGAGATGTCCGAGTAGTACCTGGACGAAAAAAAAACCTCACACACATCAGTTCAGATCTTGACAATTTTATTTGAAACATCTTTCAAAAAATGGTTTTCCTACCTCTCTACCCAGTTCTTATAGTTGGGGATGTCTTTAGCATAAAGCAGCTTGTTGGAAGGCGAGTCTTTCCCCAGTTTATGCTCCGATGTTGAACAGGAGTCCATGAAGGTCTGAGCCACCACAGACAAGCAGGCGTCTGTGATGCTGTTCTTATGGATGTCAAAGACAAACTGCGGGTTCTTGATCACGTTCACCCAGAACCGCAGAGGAAGACTGGGAGGATTGAGAGAACAGAGGGATGAGGTGGAGAAAGATAGAGGACTCGACAAGCTGTGCAAGGTGCAAACAGCACTGCAGCCTGAGTGATAAAACACCTGAGGCAAGCGGAATAAGGAACACTTAACATTCTGCAGAACTGTAAAGTTTTGCATTATTGCTGCCTTAAGAGTAAACTTTTTCATACTACAGCGCGTTTTCCACAACACTAATGAGACACAAACCAGATACTTAATACTCGGAAACATAACCTTTCACAGCGGACACACACACACACACACACACACACACACACACACACACACACACACACACACACACACACACACACACACACACACACACACACACACACACACACACACACACACACACACACACACACACACACACACACACACACACACACACACACACACACACACACACACACACACACAGACTTACCAGTTGCTCTTCCATGTGTGCCGTACATCGGAATCTGATATGGAGTGTTTGTCTGCCTGCTCATCCAAGAAGTCAAACATGTACTTGATGGCGAGAGGCAAAGCGCTTCCTCTGTGCGCTGTGCTGAAGATGGTCTCAAAGAGGTCATCCACAAACTTCTGGAGTGTACCCTGAGCACAAGAACAAACACTGGTTTAGTACGTTTGGAAAAAAAAATCTTCCTTGTGCTTATGGAAGATGTGTGTACCTTTATGTTCCTATTAAAATTATGTTAAACCCCCTTTTGAAAACACTAGCTATGTTCTGTCTATTATGGAATTCATGTTAGAAAATACATTAAACACCAATAATGATTTATCTGAGCCAATCAGGCAACACAAGGTTGTACAGGGAAGAACGTTAAGTTGCAAGCATACACACTTGTGCATGCACATAACAAGGAGGATTTGCGTGGACCACTTAGAAACAGCCTGTGTGTACACCTTCTTCTGTCTGGCTGAAGGCGTTGGCTGTGAGACGCAGGTGTTTGAGAATGACAGAGCTTTGCTTTTAGTACTCCATCTTTCTGAGAGTTTGTAATGGTGCTAGTCAGTGTTCTTTACAGTATTAGGATTGGGCCCAAGGAGAGTTCATCCTGAGGCTGTTCTGCAATGTTTTTCAGCACATCACACAACTCCGGAGATTCTGAATCCTCAAAAAACTCCTCTGAAGTTGAAACAATTTCCCCCACAAGCCGTTCACTGTCTTCCCTTCTATCTTCCAAGCATCCAGGCCACCTTTCCACAAAGCCTTATTTAATGCAGCAAGAAGTTGAATCTGCGTTTTCTTTTCGTTCACACACGTTCACATCCACAAATCAGCTTCCTAAACATACAGAGCTGTGGGGGATGAATTAAACAAGAACAAACTGCAGCGATCTGGTTTCCTCCATTGTCTTCCCCTGGCTTATATTACCCCTAGACGAGGTAACACTGATGCAGCTAACCTCGCACTTTCCCACCTGGAGCTTGAACAAAGGAAATCTGCAGCTAATGATTGAAATGTTGGGGGAGGGGTGAGCTGAATCACCAAGATAGTTAGTATTTGTAAATGAGAAATAAAAGCCTGAGACGTACGGTACACTTCGCATTCTGCTGCTGCGCAAGATGTGGCGATGGTGTCAAGATGTATGTCATTTTGTGGAGCTTAACAAATATGATTAGACTTTCCATAATGACTAATCTGGATGGTTTAGTTATACATGATGTTCAGTGCGAAGCATATAGAGAATGAGTGTTGTCAGCATCAATAGGTTAAAGAGGACTTTGATTTAAAACGTGTTAACGACTCCATTAATGACTCAATCAAAAGAGCAGGGCATGTTCTGGAGAAGATTCAAATTTAATTTCAGATTCAGATTTCAAACTGAAAAGCACAAACACATATTTTAAATGCTTTCTTGCATTGGTTATAGAATACAGTATCAAGGTAGTGAAAACAGACCTGAAACTGTAGGCCAATGAATCCTTAAACTATTCATTCTCGTTTAATCCCATTCTTAATCATTTCATAAAAACTGTGATATGGGCCAATCAGATACATGCAACTGCAACTTTTGCTTTGCAGGACATTTGTGCATCAGATCATACACACCAATAAACTGACCCGCCTTTCAGGTGCAGAACATCTACAAACCTCACTCAGAAACTTTTCAAACAGCTCTGGTAAAAATGCTACACTGCAGCAGCCTCAACTGCTCTAGAATCTAAAATAGTCCCAAAGGCTGAGACGTCCGTTTCACAAAACATTTTAACAGTGATGTGAACTGTATCAAACTTTACTCAGTGGGGGTTACTCAGGGATGAAATCCACATAGGCTGACTGTTGTTTCTCCAGGACACAAACACAAACTCTGACTCCAAGTAACCTTTCAGATCATCATCTGAAGACACACGCTGCATAAGAAGCTGAGCACAGGATCCACAGAGTGGTCCTGAGGACATGGAGGGATGTGTTGAGTAATGATCGCAGAGTAAAGGCCTGAGCCTAAAAGCCCTCAGGCTGCCAACAGAGGGCCCAGTAACACCAACAAAACAACTCAATAGCCAAAGGTCAACCTCCTAATTAAGACACACACACACTCAATCCTGTGCATATGTGTGTCTTTGTACAAAAGGTTATGAAAAATGTTAATGAGCTTCGAGACCATCACCAAACAAAGGTCAGGGGTAAGGGCTGCTGGTGGAGAAGACAGATGTGGGGGTGCAGGGTTTTTAAGGACGGAAGGTGTGTAAATGTGTGTTAATCTACATCTTCTGGATACCTTTGTGGCCAGCAGTCTGGTCAGGTAGATTTCAGACACCATCTTGCTGCCTCTGTCCCCTTCCCTCTGGTCCGAGTGGTCGTGGTTCTTGACCAGGTGCCAGAGTTTGGTGCCACTCTCGAGGTCGGGGGTGATCATGGGTGTTCGTGAGCGCAGGCTGTCTGGACTGCTGGCTGTCCTCAGCATGCTCTCTGTAAGAAGGAGATATGAGTTTAGTTACAGGGACGCAAAACCTTCAAGACATTTAAAGATACAAAAAGAGTCAAATATGTAATCCTTTCTATTATCTTGTGTTTTTTAAACAGGGAAAGGAGCAGTTAGGAGGTCAGAATGTGTGCAAAACTACACACCTGGTAGTCTTGAATTTTTATATTATGAAGGAGGTATGCAAGTCTTTTGAAGAAATTGTGATTGATACAGTGAAACAGGTTTGCCATTTAATCAAGACCTTTACAGAAAGTAAAATGCATCTAATATAAGACAGCCAGAGTCTCTGGAGGAGAAGAAAAGGGCATTATTAGATGTAAAGGGATGATAGTCTAAAGTGTGTTTCATTCATTTCTACTTCATCATCTCAAGAGGCACAGTCTGCAAATGAAGCTACCTGAGAATAAAAACCATGAAAATACAAAATATTGAGCGCCTACAAAGACCGAAACCTCTGTGTGAAGTTAAAAGCATTTCTAAAAGGTTGACAGCTGCTCCTGCTTGCATGTCACTCTTTCATTCCAGAATAAATTTGTCTGTCACTCTCTCTCCTTCTCCCTCCCTCCTCCCTTCGCTTTGTTGGACAGTGATCCGCTATTTTTGTGACACGGAGCATTATGTTTTCACTTTTTGGAATGCCTGTCACTTCAGTGACAAAGCAGGAGGTTCAAAATGTCACAAGAGATCATGGACCAGGGAAGTATGAGGGTAAGTGTGATGGGGGGTGTTACTGTACACCAGAGAAGGATGAAGAAAACAGAAGGAAGTGAGAAACGTAGGACAACTTCACTCCAATCCTGAACATGGACCTGACATTGTGTTTTGACATGACATGTTTGCAACAGTGGGGAACACAGGTAACTTTGATTTGGACTCTTTGGATAATGTAATATGATGAATTCTTGTTTTTTGGCACTTTTGCAAAAGAGAAATGAGGAGCAGTAAAGAATCAATAAAAGGGCTTTACTTTCAGCCAGCAGTCGTCCTGTGTGAGATATCTCATGAGACTTAACAGATTAGTTTGACTTTATAGAAATATTACTACTATGCCACTAATTCTTGTGTAACTTTAATACATTATATTTTTATTTCTGAAAATAAAGGCAAATCATATCTGCTCAATACAAACAAGAAAATAAATTAAATAAATTATGAACAACTTCCAAAACAAATGACCAGTCTGAGTGTAACGATGATTCTGTCAATTAAAGTATGTTTGAACTTCCAGTCACTGCAGATGTTATACGAGGGGGTAGGACCAGAAACTTCTTCCTAACCCTTTTGAACATGAACCATATTATTTGAGTGAGTTATTTATTTGTTGCTATGGATCCTGAGTTGCTTATACTTTTTATTTTGTGTTTGTTATATCTTAAAATGTTCAATAAATTGACTAATACAAATGTTTATAATGTCTGTTAATACATACGTCATCTAATTCACCTAGATTAGTTGAAAGGCACTAAACTAGTCTGCTGACATGACGTGTACATATTTGTGTGTTTTACAGAGTGTTTATTCCTGTTAGCATTACATTCACACATATTATAAAATGAAACGACGCATGCTTACACTTGTACTACACACAGACGCGCACACAGTCAAAACAGACACACCTTCTCTCGTACCGTATCGGCTGAGGGACTTGGTGAATGTGGAGGAGTTGGAGATGTTGTAGGCTGAGTTCTGTTTAGGCACCAGGGCGATCACAGAGCCATCTGTCACCTGAAACAGGATTTTCAACATCGGTTATTATTACGGTACAAAAGGTCCAGCAGCAAGATTATAGTCCAGCCTCACTAAAGATCACTGCGCTGATGATATTTTCTATTTACTCAGTACAGATTTATGTAAGTGGCCTTTGAAACCAATCAATGCAAATGCATTAAAAATGACATCTATGACATTGTTTCCTTAAGTATAGACTTAAAACAATAAAACACATGACATCAGTTTCTGCACTTGAATGAATTTTTAAAGCAACAACTGTGTGCAACCCAATCGATATGGAGTAACTGCTTGACAAGACATGGTGCATCATGGGACTTGTGCTATGCTTGAGCAGCAGGGTACCTGGTAGTGAGCCAGGGTGTTGAGTCTCTTCCAGTCGTTGTCTATCTTTGTGGTGACGTCCTCGTCTTGCAGGATGATGCGAGCCATCCTACCCTGCCGCCATTCTGTCAGACACACACAAACACACACATAAGGAGATACCGGTAAGGTTGTGTCCATGTAAATATCAAAGTTGTTTTCACTTTCTTAAGAGTAAGACGACAAAGTTAATTGAGGGATGATTGTAAATGGGTCTTAGTTGTCTGACTCCTCTATCTATTCTGTTTCAGAATAGCTTCTCCTGTGTGAAGGGCACCCTCCTGCTTCAGAGAGCCCTTGAAATGATTCCAGATTCACCCCCCTGTGGTAGTGCACCTGTGCTTGAAATGTGTTTTTTGTGTCTTTCTGTTCTCCGTCTCCTTACCCAGGTCCATGTCGGAGGCCTTGGGTCTCTGGGAGTATGGTGTGCCTTTGTACACGGCGTCCAGCAGCTTCTCCTTCACCTGCGTCACCGTGTCACAGTTCAGGCTCTTCACCGTCACCTCCGGAGCATTCTCGTTCTCTGGGTTCACACAATGCAGCGTCTGTGGAGGCAGAGGTCAGAAAGAATGAGCGAAAAAACAGTGGAAGCCTTAGCTATATAGGTGAAGAAGCTTCACCCTGCATTGATATTTGACCTAAAACTGGCACTTCATGCTGCAGTCTAGAATCAATAATCAACTGCGGAACAGTAAAGATGTGAGTCTTTATTGGCTTTTCTATTGTAATGTAGATTGACAATTCTGTCACAATAACATTCTGCACGTTAAATCACTGTATCAGTGGCTCTGGTTTTATCTTCATCACCCTAATGAATCCAAATGTGTGACCCTCCTGTCTGTATTCACCAACAAGTACACAAATACTGACCAAAGTCTTGTAGTCAATCTGCTGCCTGATGAGTTTGTCCTCGCTGAGGGAGTAGCGGGCCTCTCCTGTGATGGAGTCTATCGGTCCCTTCTCCATTTGCTGCTTCATGGCACAGTACAGCATGAAGAGAGGCTCGCCAGCACACTCCTGGAGGCAGGGAAGAAGAGACGCAGATGGAGAATAAGTAGGGAGAAGGAGGAAGGTAGAAGTGAATGACCAGGGGAAGTAAAAGGAGAAAAATACAGGCTGCTAAATGTATAAAAACTTTACCAACAAAATAGTACACAAAGCAAAAACTGTGTAGCTCTGCTGCTCAACTCTCCAATTATATTTCTAATCTCCTTTAAGCCAATCACAGGCTGAGCAGTAAATGACGAGGGCATGGGGCATGGTCTGTGTTGGCTGACAGCTTGCTGGAAACGAACAAAGTACAGCACACACACCATTTCTCTCCCAGACACACTCTCCAGTCTCTCCCCTGTGTCTCGTCTTGAAAAAAACTCTCTTTGTAAATCTCTGTTAGTGTGTTTGTGTGTGTGTATGGGTGTGTGTGTCTGTAAGTAAGTGAGCAAGAAGGAGAGGAGAGTGAGTGTGTGTGTGTGAGTGAGTGGCAATTGATGGAGGAGTTAATAGAAGGTTAACGACTGAGGGGTAAAAAACGCTTGGAGAAGCACTTTGGTGTGTGAGACGTGTCAACCAGGCAACGAGCGTTGGGATGTTGGGCCTCCGTCTTTCATTCCTTCGCTCTCTCTCTCTCTCCACACCTCTTTTTCACTCGCTCATTGTGCTGGCCTGCCAAGTCAGCGCTGCCTGTTTTTATAACTGCTCTGTTCTGCTTTAAAAGATCCTTCGGGTTAGATATCCACTAATAAGAATACACTCGTATTTCATACTGGGTTTGAACATTTCATGTGCAATGACGTATTATCACTGACTTTATTTTTTGGCTCACTTTAAGTTCTTTAAATGATTGGTGAGCTGAGTCCACTTATAGGGTTATCAGATATTCTGAGGGGCCTTGAGATAAAATAGTAGATAAGCATATTCTGTTAAACATGATACATAACTCAAGCAACATTAGGACAATATAAATCTTTCTACAGAGCGTTCAAGAACTTCTTATGGTCTTTGTTCAAATGAGTCTAAAAATCTTACTGACCTACAACCTGAATCTGTTTCAAGTGAACATAGTGACCTTTGAAGGATCATAAGTAAAAGGAAGAGGACTGCTGTGTCTGTGTTTCTTAAAGGGGACCTTACATATAAAGACATGTTGACCTTATGGGATAAACATTGTTTTTTTTACATGTATGTAAATACTAGATTTCTACTTTTCAAGAAAATTTAAAATTACAAGTTTGCACGTAAGCTGCCATTGATGTATACACCGCAATGCACTCTGGGTAGTGACATCAAGTGGCTGTATCAATCTTTTCCCCTATACACTTTGCCTGAAGGAGGTGAGAGTGGAGCTAATACTTTGGTGTCTGTGCGACAACTGCTTGTAAATGTCAACAGAGAGAGAGAGAGAGAGAGAGAGAGAAAGGGAGAGAGTACCCTGAGTGCACTGCAGTGTATGTAACAATGGCGGCCTACGTGTGAAATTTATGTTTTAAAATGGTCTCAAATGTAGAAAGCTAGAGTGTGTTTTTGTTACACATGTAAAAGATACCAGTGTTGAGCCAATATGGTCAACATGTCTTTAAATAGGGGATTCCTTAAAAGACGACTTGTTCAGGGATATAATGGTCTGAACAGTGAAGAAATGTCTTACACTGGAATTATTATTTTTTAATCATTTCACAGTTCTCTTCTTTTGATGTGCCATTTCCGCCTGGCAGAGTGAGGCAGAGGAAGTCTATTGCCAAGTCCTGCCCTCACCCTTCAGACGGCCACGTTCATGCTTCAACACGTCAGTCATTTTGGTGAGCTCGCTGCTGTCAGATTAACTCTGTGGGAAAATCTAGCACTGCCTGCTTCCTGTGGAGAACACACAGCACACCGGCTGACGTCCTCTACACAACATTAAAAAAACAGTTTAGTGCTGCAGCTTCAAACTTTTTTCTACAGTGTAGAAATAAATCCTCAAACACTATGTGTTAACAGCGTCTTGTTGCTACCGTTAACATACATCCTCTTCCATTGAACTTTACTTAAACCAGCACATTATCATACAGCATCCTCTCAACTGAACCCAAAGCAACACACAGCCCATCTGGTCCAGTAAAAAAGAAACCACGTGTTTCTTTCAAACCAGCCAATGCACAAGAGGACAACCTCAACCCTTAGAGTAAGGTAATGGATTAAAGGTTATTTTCCTTACTCCTGTTCCCTTTGGTAAGAAAAAGCTTCATCTATTTCCTCCCTTTGAACAACGACTTGACCTTCACCCATCTCTATTCACACCTGGCTGAACCTTGAAATTGTTCCAGGCCTTTCTTTTATGTGACCCTTAAAAACTCAGGAGAAAGAGGGGCGCAGATTTGTCAGGGGTTAGATGAAAGGCTGGCTTGGTAACCTTGCTGTTCGCTTCAGCCAGTCTTGGCTTCAGTGCTCACTTTTCCCAATCCTTCTACTTCCCCTCCTATTTCCTCTTACACTCTTTGTTCCTTGTTGGAAAAAGAAAATTCACCAACATATCAATTCTGTCAATTATCACTTATTATCAACTTTCTCTGCATTCCTTCATCCTAAGTATTGTTTTCTTCTTGTCTGAAGTTAGTCAACAGCTAATGGAAAAGATTCCCAAGCAGCTTCCCTGCGAGCCCACTCCCCTGTCTATGAACCCAATTATGGCTGTCCAGTCCCACATTTAGAGCCAAGTTACAGACATACACGCACACCCAGATGCCAACTGGGACCCCCAAGGGCTTGGCTGGTTGCTGTCCACCAGAATGTATGTCCTGGTGGGGGCTTAAGACCCCGCTGCAAACTGATTAGCCGCAGACATGTTTGAATTTGGAGAATGCATGAGTGGAAACAAGAATTTAGCACAGTTTAAGCCCCAATAATTCTCTCTGATTCCATATCAGAGGGACAAGAATTCGAAAAGAGCAAAAGAACATAAAGACACAGAGACGTACAGACAGAGAAATGAGAGAATGCATTCGTGTAAGATCTCTGGTTTCCTTTTTTGCTAAGCTCCAAAGCTCCGAGGGGGGATACAAACGCACAGCTATGCATACACACACACACACACACACACACACACACACACACACACACACACACACACACACACACACACACACACATTTTCTGGCTTCATTCGAATCCAGTGAGGGACACAAAGAGAGGACAGGTTGGTGTGACGGGCTAGGGCCATCACAACAACATGGCTAGTTGTGTGTGAAGAGTGCTTCATAACGCAGATCCCGAAATTCAGAGAGAAGGAGAATTTACCACATGAAAGACGGAGGTAAGGGATAGGTAGCCTGCTGTCTTATCTAATGCTGCAGCTGTGCATGTGTGTTTGTGATGTATTTTGATGTTCTCAAACACCAGTTGTATACGTATCGCTTCAAAAGTTGTGTGTGTCCTGTCTGTGTGAAAGACAAATTTTACCTTGAGGAACTTGTAAAGCAGGAAGGTGAACCAGTTGGTGAGCATCTTCTCAGCGACCGACTCCGTCCTGAGGGAGAGGTGATTGGAGAAGGTGAAAGGAGAGGGTGAAGGTCAGAGGTAACAAGAGAGAAAGGATGGGAGTGGAGATGAAGAAAGACAAAGAACACAAAGATGAGAACCTCACATAACCCTCTGCACTACACACTAGGAGGCTTTGTGGTCATTCCCAACCTTTGCTCATATTTCATGAAGCACAACTCAAACATGCCCCCCCCCCCCCCAATCCTCACCCCATGGCTATGATCTGTGTGCATCAACCAACACTTTCATCATGGGGGGAGGCATTTGCACACTAGAACATCAAAGAGATCACTTAGCATTATCAATTGTCATGCGGTGAGCCCTTCAAACAGCCACCCCCCCCCCCCGACCCTCACATGCAAACATATATTAACTTGGCAAAACAAACCCCTCCATTTCTTTCATTGTTTCAATCCCCTCTTCCATCACCCACAAATCCCGCCCCCAAGCAAAACACACTCGTCTTCATTAAAAATACAGCAATTAGTATAATTCGCTAACTTCTCTCGTTAATCACAAACCTGCCGTGTAATGAGGGGAACCTCTGCACGTGTACACCATCGAGCAGACGCACGTGATCAGTCGGCGAATGAGCAATTAAAAGGCATTGTAATTACGGACTTATTGTGTCTAATTTGTTTAACAGCAGAAAGGGAGAGAGCGGCAGTAAGGGTATGTGAGGGGAAAAGCAGAGTGATTATTTTCTTCCCTCTCCATCATCGTCCTCAGATTTACCCCCCTCGCTTTCCTGCAATCCTTCCTTTTCACATTAGAGAGAAACAGGAAGACTGCTTAATTACTATTCCTTGTTTTCACTTCGATGAATGGAATACCCATCAAAGCTAACTGGAACTGGTCTGCTGCTGGGTTACTGGGTTGTCTAACTGGGCCACATTCCCACACTTCTAGCAAACATGCTTTTTTTGTCATTAGCGAGGAACAAGATGCAAAACGGTAAAGGACGCACATTCTGTTGAGAAATGACATTGTAGGAAGATGTTTTTTTTTTTCTCAACTCAAGTGTTTGAGCAACTGAGGAATAGTAACGAAATAAAGATAAAGCAACTAGGAAACTAGGCCAATGATCTAGAGAAGGCCTGTAGCAGGAATGAGATGTGAACTCCTACGCTTCCGCGAGCCTCCCTGTTTGACTGTTCAGTGCTGTTTGATGTATGTGGAGCAAATTTTTTTTTTTCCAAGGCTGTCAGCAAAATCAAGTGGATGAAAGATGAGGCAACAGGGAGCAGAGGGAGGGAGGACGATGGAGGCGAATACACCTGGACAGAACATGCTGTCGGGCACTTCAGGGCATGATAGTGAGCTACTCATTCAGCTGAATATCTATTGTTCCAAAATGTTTAAGTGTGAACTGCAGGGGGTTAACACAGCTTTCCTGGACGCAAACTTGGAGCATGACAGCCTATAATGTTTCGTTCAGGCCCGACTTTACCACAGGGGATGAAAATCCACATAAGAGCAGAATATGCATACATCTGGAAAAAGGTTCTTAAGACTATCTGTTGCTGGAAAAAGACCAAAACAGTGAGAACCATGTGTAATAATTTCCAAGCTTATTAACAGCAGCTCCTGAGGCTAGTGTAGTTAGCAGGGACAGCGTGTTGTGACCGTACACCCCAAGAGGGGATAGGAAAAGGCTTCACACAGGCACACTGGCTGAGAGTCATTTATTTGATTAGATTTTTAATTAAATATCTCTCAGAGGACAAGAAGGAAGGAAAAATATATATATAACTTTTTTATCATTTAATGTCTAATTCCAATTTATTTGGAGTCAGGCCATTTCTCTAATTGTGTCTTTCTTTAAATAAGTGTATCTTTTCCTGCCCGACTGACTGCAGCAGCTCATTTCTCTTTCTCCTCCTGTCTGCCCCTGCTCCTCTCCCATCATGTTACACCTTCTTCTTCTTTTCAAACCTCCCATACCTTTTTCCTTCCTTTATTTGCCTTTAGCCCCGGTATTCCTCTAGACAATTTGCCCTATCTTTCTGTCCATCACTCTTTCCCTCTGTCCTTCTACTCCATCCCCTTTCTCTTTCAGCCTCTGCCTATGTCACCTCATATTCTCCCCTCCCTCTGTTGCTTCTCTTGCCCTTTCCCCCTCTTTACCTTTTCTCTATCCCTCATAACCATCCCCTGTAAATCCTTCTTCTCTCTCCCCTTTACATCCGCTTGTGCTTTACCCCTCTCTACCTTTCTCTCGCAGTGTGTGTGACTGCGGCTCCGTTGGGAGTGTGTGTGTGTGTGTGTGTGTGTATGTGTGTGTGTGCTCAGGGGTGTAATCTGCTCTGACAGGGACAGGGTTGAAAGATAGAGATGAAGTAACGTCACATATAGTAGGCCTCTAAAAGCTACAGTCCCCGCCCAGCGCCCTCCTGCTTCATGACTTTAGCTGCTTCTTTTTCTATCTCTTCCTATCTTAGCGCCTTGATGAGTATGATTGCAATACAGTTACCACTGTTGCCCTTCACTTACAAGTGAAGGGCAAAAACAACAAGTGAAAAAAAAGAAGTTTATTGCTTCTTTTTTCTTTTTTTGCGGCTGAATGGTCAAGGTGGCCACTACTCAAGGACGCCCCAAACCAGTGAGAGGTATGATAACTAAAGGGATGTAACCTCAAACTTGAACCCCAGGTGGGGAATCTACCTGTGTGACAAGGTTTTTTGCAGAGTTCAAGCCCATTTCAACCCTGCCTCCCCCCCTTCTCCCTCTCTGTTTTCTTACCTCCTGAGTAAGAGCTTGGGGTGATTCTTGCTCTCCAGGTTTTTGTCAATGAGGTCAGACAGGAGCTGTTTGAGGACACCCGTTGCGTACTCCATCTCCCCCTGCAGCGCTGTCATGATGAGAGAGGCCACGTTGCCCCGGTCGCGCATAGAGAAGGAGCGCTGTGCCTCCAAGGTGCGGATGAAGGTCAGCAGGAAGTGCTTTTTGGTAAGCAGCTGGCCGAAAAGGGTCAAGGCCTTCTCCACATTGGCGGGGACCTGGAGAGGAGGGGACAGAGGTGCAGATGGGGAAGAGTGTAAAGAGAGAAAGTGAGGGACAGTCGATGGAGGGGGAAAGTGGCCAGTGGTTGGATATGGGGAGGAGAGGAAATGAATCAAATCCAAAAGATGGAGGAATAGTTCAAAGGATTCAGGCAATTGGGTTGAAGTGTAGAGGAGGAAAGGGAAGAAGAGGAGGAGAGAATTGAATGCAAAGGATGTTTGGAAGTAAAATATAAAGAGAGGTTAAAGGCGGAGGAAAAGTATAAGAAAGGAAATATGGCAGAATAAAAAGGTAGAGGTCAGGATGTGGTGAGGGGGATGTGGAGAAAAGAATTGGTTGTGTGTCAAGGTGGAGAAATGGATTAATGAGTATGTGTAAGAACAACGGATATCAGATGATCACTACATTGTCATAAAGGGACACACATGCGCAGAGACAATGACAATATATAAATATCTACGGGGAAGATCCGCCTCCAGATACGTCTATAACATTCATTTTGGCTCTTGTTTTACGACCCATTATTCTCTTTCCCCAGTTCTCTCTTTACTATTCTTCTCCATCAGCCCTTCTCACCTCTTCCTCCCTCAAAGAAAAGGACAGGCCTCCCCTTCTGAGGGAGAGGAACAGAGGTTTGAAGTGAGAAAGTGAGCTCTGTGCTGTAATAAGAAATTGATCTCCCTGCTAGCGCACTACTGTGGCCTGTGATTGCCTGGACTATACAAATGAAAATCCAATGTCCCGCTAGACTTTCCCTTTGGAATACACTTGATAGCACCAGCAGATACTGAACGCCTCAAAGCGACCACCACCTTGCATGCAGCACAGTGTGCATCTCCATGTGATGTATGTGTAGTTGTGTCCTAACACAGAAAAATGATTGAGGAGTGTGTGCGTGCTGCGTAACAGCGTCCACATGGACGAGGTTCATGGTAGTGATAGAGTGTTCCATCTTTAAAGGGGAGAAGTAGAGGAGGGGTGATTGTTTTATGTGAACATTGGTTTTTCAGGAGCCTCAAACAGGCTTAGTCCTGTAAAGGCAATCTATCAGGTGTACCAGGACTCAAAGGGCCTTTGATGTATTCCATCAAACTGGAGCTTGACCAAACTGTTACTTTAAACTACATCTTTTTCTGACCATTTTTTTTTTTATAGTCACTGAATAAAAAGCTGTTCAAGATGAAATATGTTAGGTTGAAATATTCATTTTGTACAGCTCTGATATGATTAAGATTTATCCCAACCCAGCTAAATCTAATTGGAATCTTAAACCGCCAATATGCATTTTATTAATTATTAATTTTGACCTTTTCCAATCCTGCTTTTTCATAGTTTTTTGTCTTAATGCAAAGATGAATGTTCACGGTTGAAATGTCTTGCATTACAGATCAAACCCTCATCTAGTTCTTCGGGGTGTGTGCATGTGTGCGAGGCGCTCTCTACTGACCCGTACCTCCATCTCCTTGAGCACAGGGTGGTCCTCTATCCCAGGGAAGAGAACCCTCATGGCGTAGGTGCGATACTCCAGGAAGGGGATTCCTGCTCCGTCCAATTCCTGAGTGAGTTCATGGATGTCCGTCTGAAGCTCCGCAAAGGCTGCACAAAGGAAAAGGTAGTGGTTACGAATATAATATTATTATGAAGGTTGTGTGACTCTGAGTTTAAAGTTTTTTATGTTCCAAGTAACAAACAGGTATCTCAGAATTAAAAAAAAAGAAATTCGTTCACAAAGGGAGTCAAGATCTTAAGATTGTTTTTGGTGACAATTTGGGTAATATTCATTTTTCAGTGTTGGTTTTAAATGTGTACTTCACTTGTTCGAAGAAACCATTGTTTCAGTAAGTTTAAAATACTTCTCTTCATGAGCAGGAGAGGAGATTTCCAGTGGGGAAAATGTATGTTTAGAAGTATGATGTATGATGAAATAACCTGCTGTAGGTAATCAGCTGGCAAAAGTAAGTAGCAATAAAACATGACTTGCAAATTCTGACTTTCTGCTAATCTTATTCAATTTTAAATTATACTCTCAGGAATGCTCTCAGGAACACTTTTTGTTCCAAAAGAGGGGACTGAAAAGATGCACAAAAGATGAAAAGGATCCAAGGAGTCAAACTTAAAACACCTACAAAAAGTTGAAATCAACTCCAGAGCCTGACTTTGTCTCGTCATGCCTCTTTCAATGTGATTTTTGGAAACAGCATATTTTACAGGAAAAAAAAAAAGGCAACTCAGGTGAACTTGAGGAAAAGATGGAGGCGTATGGAGGAGTTTCAGTGAAAAGCTGCATTGTGTGATAACTCTGTTCTAAAAGCTGAGAGAAAGAATCAAGGGAAGGAGGAGTGGAGGGAGAAACGGAAGAAAGTGTTGTGGTACTTGTGGCTGGAGGGGCGTTTGGGATGGAATTGCACACAGGAACAGGAGCCTGTGAGCGCGCGCGCGCGCACGCACGCACGCACACACACACACACACACACAAACATACACTTTTCCTGTCTTGCCCCTCAGCTGAACACATAACCTTGTGCCCAGATGATTTATGTGATTGATGTGTCAATGTTTTTACACATTTTCTATTAAAGAGTGAGTGTGTGTTCTGACCCCAGTCCGTTTACTCCAGTGACTTCAACGCCACATCTAGAGGGACAAAATGGAATCAAAAATATGATTTCACCCACAACCAACACAATAGTGCCTGTGCCTAATGCTTTGACTGGACTGCTTTAATTCTCCAATGAGGTAAAAACAAGCATATATGGTTCCACAAACATTGCTGTGTGTGTGGTTTTGTGAGTCCTATAGCTGCATCCAAAATACACCACCACATGTATACTCAACCCAAACAAATAACAAACCAAAGCCCAGACTAACAGATGGCTTGTGTCACCCTATCCCTCTTCAATCTCTCCTTTTTTCCCCTCTATCTTCCCTTCAACGTGACATCTCAGAGGTCACCTCTCTATCTTTTTTTTCCTCCTGTTGGCTTTCTTATGCCATCAATCTTTCTTTGGATCTCTAATAGTCCTCTCCCATCTCTAAACTGCCCCATCTCTTCTTTCCATCTCTTCTTTGTTCATTTATTTTAAGAGTCAACATTTTGTGTGATGCTGTCTTTTACTACACCTACCCATCCCTAATCGATGTCCTTCCATTCAGCCTCTGCTTGTCCCTGTGTTTACGTCCCCACTTTCCTCAAGTTCAACTTTGATGTTTTTCATTCATTTTGAAATATCAGCATCTCTTACTAGTTTGTCCCCCTCCTTCATTATCTTCCTATCCATCTATTCTTCAGTGGCCCCCCTCCCCTCCCTTTTCTCCTCTCACAAGTTGTTCGCCTTATTTATCGCCCTCGCTCAGTCCCCCTTCTTCCATCCATTCTGTTGTCGTCTTCCAGACAGTGGTGACAGCGGGGGACAGACAGGGTCAAGGCGCCTGGTCTCACTGCCTCACACCCCAGCCAATCATTGTTTGACCTGAGGTGTGAGGTTTTTGTGTGTGTGTGATTGCAGGAAGTTGCAAAGGGGTGAGATATGAAGACTTTAGTGTCAGAGGGAGTGGTGTGAAGTGAACACACACTTTGAGCAGATTACTTGTTAGCAATACTTGTCCTTTATATTCCTTATTTTATTGCATTTAAGATCCTCAACAGTAGCAGTACAGCCGTTTTACAGCCGTTTGCTTCTTTATTCTACTTCTATGTTTACTGTTTTTGCACCAAACACCAGTCCTTGATTGTGTAGAAGTACTTGGCAATTATCTGATTCTGAATGTGATGAAGAGCACAGGATTTGAACATAAAAAATATAACCTATTCTGAAAAAAAATTACCATGGTTCCATTTCACCAAACTCCACTTTATTTTCAGGAAGAGCTGATATTTTAAATTATTTTTGCCCTGACCAATCGGTAGAAAGAGCCATGTCAGTCCCACCTCTGTCATTGTCAGGTGACACAGAAGCTGCTGCCGTCGTTATTAGAACTGTGAACTTTGAAATGCAGTCACCGAGTCTCTTTAGTGTCAATTAGTTTACAACAAGCTGTGCACTTGTGTCAAGCTTATGCATTTTTGCCTCCATTACTCTGGCTTTTTATGGTATTTCTCATGCATGTAAATTGGTCATTAAAAAAGCTACATTGGAAAAGTATGTCGCCATTTTAATTGTTCCTTAAAGCTCTGATCAATCAGCTGATTCTGGTAGGACATGCTGTTTTACAAGCTCTGGAAAGTCAGGACCAAGGCTTGACTTGGTCTAACAACACTCACATAAATCTGCTAATTTGAAGAAAATATAACAGATTAAAAAGGACCATTTGTTTTGTATACAATACAATAGCCAATATTTAGATTATTTTTGTGTTAGAGCATTTTGACCTGAAGTAAACCCAAACCTGAAGATCTTAGGGTTTGGGTTACATCTGTGACATCCCTGCTAGTAAAAACAGCACTTTTACATTTGTCATTGTTATATGTGAGTTACTAAAGCGGTGCAACAAGTGAAGTTATCTCTAAAACAAATGTGTCCTGATGATCATGGTTATCAATATTCTCCTTCTCTTTCTCCCCATCTGCTTCGCTCCTTCTTGCCAGACAAACCAGCAGCAGCATCAATAGGCTCTCACTGGATCCATGCTGTCTCCTGCCAAATGAATATATGCTAATGCACTGGTGTGTAAGTCTCTCTCTCTCTCTCTCAAATTCTCCCCCTGCTTTAGTTGTTGCCAAACCCCTCCCTCATTACTACCCCTCATTTTCCCACCTCTGTGTCCTGTATCTATCTAACCTCCATCTCGCAGCGTGGATGGTGGAGAGGCCAGCCAGGCGACTCTCTCGTGGGATGGAGAGCCAACATCTGGTGGCTGGCTCGGATCAAAGTACTCCTCTGGAAACACACCAACACCCACGCACACATGCATGCACACACACCGCTGCCACCTATCAGCAGGGGAACGGTTGGCAGTGAGAGGGAGGGAGAAAGAGAGACTGGATGGATACGACTACTGAATGGGAGCTGTGCAGCATTTGAGGTAAGCTGCAGTCAGGGAGATTTACAGAAAGTTATTTGGGGACATTGGAGTTAATTGAGGAAAAAGATGAAGAGAACTGAGTTAACAATCATTATGAGAGTTACTTTAGAGGTTTGAGCTCCTAGTGTCACACCCCTCCTGTGTCTGAGCTCACCTTCCTTGCACTCAAGGGCCACCCTGGACTCCAGGTTGTCCATCTGCAGCTGCAGCCGTTTCAGGGTGCGGTCAGCGTCTCTCGACTTTCTCTTATAGGCGATGAGCACCACAATGATGACAAGCAGGAGCAGACCACCACCTCCTCCGATACCGATGATGGCAGGCAGAGTGAGCAAGCTGTCTGAGTAGATCTGCAAGGTCCCTGGTGAGTACTCAAAGCCTCCAACGCGCACCTAGTAGACAGACAGCAAAATTAAACTCTTGTTTGTTTAGCAGGTTGAAGAGACACAACACACACAAAACAAAATGTGGCTGTTCTTGCCACGGTGTTGGACAGAGTGTCAAGCTGAGGCTGCAAAGCTTTTATATACACACACACACACACACACACACACACACACACACACACACACACACACACACACACACACACACACACACACACACACACACACACACACACACACACACACACACACACACATTTTTAGATCGTCTTTATCTTTAAGAGTCAAAACCCCAATAAACCAAAATGATATTTATAAATATTTAGGGTTGTAATGCTCCAGCCAACACTGTATTTCTATTGATGAACCAAGCTATGTGTGGTAAAGCCATTATGCGGAGCAAAACTCTCGATCCTTTTCATATCTGAGATGAGAGATGCAACATTCTGGCCCCGTGGCTGTGAAACAAATATACGTATACACAGTCATACATCCATATGACTTTCAATCATATCTCATCAAAACAGGTCTGGCTTACAGATCAAGTGAAAAATCAACAACAACAAATAGCAGGTCATGTTTTTTTTCCCATCTTCTAACGCCTTTCTTCCACGAAATACCAAATGGAGGAGGGTAAAAATAGACACAGACTTCTCCCACCCACTAGCCATTTTTTTGTCTCCATTGAATATCAATACTCCTCAAATCCCAAGAAGGATGCCAGCCAAAATGAGACCGATCGAAAGCCTCAGTCGCAAACACAACCAATGGTGTAAGAGATGGGTTGTGTTTGTGTGTGTGTTTGTGTGTGTGTGTGTGTGTGTGCAGCTACATGAATGGGGAAGAGAAATGTGGAGTAATTGAAGAGATTTAAGACTGATGGATGGGGAAGAAAGAATACGATGAATGAATGAATGAAAAAGCAGGAAGTGGATTGACATAAAGAGGAGGAATGAATAGCACAGTGGAAACAGAGCGAGAGCAGGAGGTATGGAAGAAAACGGGCTGAGAGGTTGAAAGAAATGTGAAAGCCAGATGCTCCAGAGCAAGCAAAAAAGCAAAAAAGAAATCAAGAGTGGTGATGAAATAACAGGCACTTAAGATGAAAAAATGTAACCCAAAGAGGGATGATGCTCATTTCAGTTTTTGAAAGTCTGTATCCAAAATCCTGTACCGGTGGTGACACATTGCTTTGTTCTGTGTGAGAGTTAACATTCTGTAAAAGGACACAACATTATATTGGGATGCTGCTCAGCACACGCTATGTAGACAAGAATGAAAGTTTGACTCACAGTGACTTTATGTTCTCCGGTCAGATTAGGCCATTCACACAGCAGCTGGCTCTCTGACAGGGTGAGAACGCAGGGCGTCTCTCCGATCAGCACCGTGTAGTTCAGCTTAGAGTTTCCTGGAGCTGAAGGAATTAGGTTACGACCCTGGAAAAAGACATACACATATGTTTCAGTTACCTTCATAATATCCAAGTCTGAGGCAATCCACACATAGAATAACAATTACTTCTACTTCTAAAATATAAAATACTGCTTGATTCCGATTGGCTGGCAGGTGTGTGTCAACGGTCCAGCAACAGCTCTAAGCAATCTGCAAGGTACTGTTAACTGCAGGAAACCATAGCAACAGTGCTCCTTCTCTATGCTGCCAAATAATACCTCTCATAGAAACTGACAAAAACATGAGTTTCAACAAACAAAATATGGATTATGATTTTGAGAGAGTCTATCATGTTTTTCTTGTGATAATACACACAGAGGTGTAGAAATGTGTTTGTTGTTTAAGGGTGTTTCGAAGTGCAATGAATAAACTGCACATAATGTACCTTCTTCCCCCCTGCTCTACCATGAATGTACCTTTTCCTACTCATCCTTTCCCACTATTTCTTTGTAGAGCGCGAGGATTTGATTGCTCTAAAATCCAGATGAACATCTCATTTCTCCTCAATTATTTAATAGCATGCCGTTTCTGTGCTGCTTATTCCTGCAATTCTTTACCCGCAGCACAGTGAGGCAATCAGAGCTTTTCATTATAGAATCATATTTAAAGTTACAGGGGAGAGAGGCGTGATGCTTCATTTTCTTAAACTCCTCCCTGATTGGCTGAGAGAAAAAAGGCTTTTAGTTTTCCATGATAATTTCCTCTCTCGCTCCTGAGGCTTTGAAGTTCAAGAGGAGAGGTGACATGACAAAAGACAGCAAGGGAGGGTGGGGGCAAAGCTTTTTAAATGCACACAGGATTCCAATGTGGTCTGCCTCTACGGCTTAAGAGTCTGACTTCAGAAATGATCTGATAGAAAGATGTACAGCAACACTCTGGTCCATTTCATAAACATAACTTTACTCTGTGCCTGACTTTAAACACAGTTATTTTCTCTTAAAAGTCTTAGAACCCCACTTGAGACAGCAGGCAAAGAAATAGCCTATTGTAATGTTGCAACTTAATACAAATACTCTCAAAGAAAGAAAGAAAGAGAGAGGAAAGTATCTGTACAGGAATGCTTGCAGCTAATGATTCTAACTGTCATTATTGCTGACAATAGTCAACGTTACCTAAATGCTGCTATCAGCTATTACTGCCCCTCCAGTGTGTCACCTTAGCTAACCATCGTATGTTCTTGAGTCCTTGTGTCCTTGAAGACATTAATGTTACACATTTTCAGAGTAACCTTTGGTCTACTGGTCGACTACCTGAAATCAAGAGAAGGTAGGCAGCCAAAATAAAGGAAGAGGTGACGCAAGAACAGAGAAAGACAAGTTGATTCAGAAAGACACAAAGAAACGGAGGAGGAAGACATGACAAAGAACATAATGAATGTAAAGCAAAGCCAGGTAGAGACAAGGCCGAAACAGATCAATGCCAAGAGCAAAAGGCAATTTACCTTGAGTATGAGTGGTGAGCTGGGCTTCAGCTCCAGCATGCCTGAGGGGCTCAGAGGTTCAAACACGGGGTCCGGGTGGTAGCTGAACGTCTCGTTTACCACCAGCACAGAGCGCACGTCATCCATGACAAAGCCGATCTCATCAGGACTGCTGCCCGCCTCAGAGAAGCTTTTGTCAGATCCGGCCACTGAAGGCGCCAGACACACCATCACAGTGTTGTTGACAACCGTGCAGTTCTGATGGAGGAGGAAGAAACGTTGAGAGAGGACGAGTGAGGGGGGAAATTGAGAGGAAAGGAGGGAGGAGAAAAAATTTAAGAAGATAAAATTAATAAAATGCAGTGATTTTCTTATTAAAACAATTTGACGTGTTGGAAAGAAGCTGCTTATTTTCATTTCATACCAAAAAAATCATGTTAACTAAAACATAACAAGCAATATATATATATGATGACTGAAGCCGTGTTATGTGATATGAGTGATTAAATGTCTCCGTAATGACATAATGAGGAAGAGGCGGGCTTAATAACATCAGAGTTGTAATCAGTGTTGATATCATCTCGAAAATCCCCTGTGGGGTTTGACACCAGAATCACTGTGCGGTGTACAAATTAGACAAAGTGACACACAGAGAAGCAGGAGAGGTCAGTCTGTAGCTGTTAACGATAACACAGCATGGCTTAAGAGACCTTTGCATAGTTTCACAGCATGTTACAGCCTTACATTATGTTTTATATGTCAAGCACTAACTTGCTCGCACACAAAAGGTGTGTAAAATCCCACAGAGACAGAACAAGTCTGTGCATATAGGTCAATGGAAACATTAACCAAGCAAAAATAAAAATTGACTGCAGAGAGGGGGACAAAGAAAAAAAATAAGTGATATTTTTACTTGCAGCTAAGAGGAGGAGGAGGAGAGAAAAAGGTTAGCTAAGCCCTGTGGTGTTAGGTGAAGAGAGAGGGATTTGCCAGAGCTGCTTTATTGCTGGTTGACATTTCAAAGGTTAAACTGCTAAAAGGAAATTCAACATCAAAAACAAACAGAAAATGGGCCCTTGGCTGGTTGACCGACGGGTCAGGTGTGTGTGCTTGTGTCTGTATCCCCGGAGTGTGTGTATCGCCTGAAAATCAGCTTTTCCACCGAGGGAAGTCAACGGGGAGACAGAGTTAGAAAGACACCTGTGTGTCTATATTGGTCTCACTCAGTCTCAGTTGCCAACTCAAGTCACTACTTTTTTTTTGTTTTGTCAATAAAAACTGTGTGTGGGTGTCTGGATTCCAACCACTCACATTTTCTGACTTGGCAGCTCCATACTTGGCTCTCATTTTGGGCTCCTTGATGGTGGCCAGATTGGTTCCAGTGATGGTCAACATGGTTCCTCCGCTAAAAAAAAGAGAAAAGAAATGCTTATTGTAGACAGAATTAAGACAACCACAATTGTAAAATGTTTCTGGGAAAATAAAAAGGAATTCTATGTGCACTTCTCAGTCACATATTCATGTATGCCTGCTGTTCTTTCTTTCTTTGAGGGTCCATGAGCATACACTATTCAGCAGCCTATCAGTAGAGATAAATGTTAATAAATCTGTTCTCTGTGGGAGCCAAGAGGGCCCTCCAGTTGGCGATTTAGCATTAATGCTCGCTCCTGCTGTAGCCTTTTTGCCCGCTTACTCATGGAAACCCATTTTCAGGTAATGACAGTAATGCTAAAGCCCTTGCATGAATGTTAAAAGCTTCTTTAAACCAATATGGAGGCTGCAGGGAAGAATAAGTGAATATGTCGGATCACTCCTGTAAGTTGAAGCTTTTGGCCACTTCTCAGCACCTCTTGAATCAAGGGAGATTGTTTTCTGAGTGTTTAAAAATTGCACCGTGGGATATTTTGTAGCGTGAGATAAAGTCAGCAAACACACTGCTGTCAGTGATCTGCTCGGTAACCTTTTCACCTGTGACCTATTCAGCTCTTTGTGACGGTGATCAGCACAGACATGGGTAATATGGGCGAGAGTCCTATTCCCCCACACTGCCTTCCCAACAGCCTCTGCTGGCCTGAGAGGCTGAACTTTTCTGATGTGAGCCGCTCTGACAGCAACTAAATAAGTTAGCATACAACCTAAAAACTAGAGTGGGATAAGCCTACTGGCACTGTGCGTCACCACTGGCTCCAATAAAAAAACAAAAACAAAAAAAACAATACAAATGATTTACTGCTGGTATATTACTTTTTTTTTAATGCAGACCATGAAAAGAGCATCTTGTGAAGCACTGTCGTAACACTTTTTAAGAAAGCTCTTTTGCAAGAACATGGACCGTTTCAGTATTTTTGTTTCTTCTTGCACAAACCAGAAAGTGATGGCATCTGAGGCAGGGACATGTGGGCCAGTCTTAGGCTCTAAGGTCCAAATAGCCCTGCAGAAGGACTCATTGGATGAGGGGAAAGTAAGACCAGTGTCTTACTCGGTACAAAAGGGTTTGTGATTGGCTCAAACTAGGGTGGGGGATATAGATGTGGTACACACGAACATAAAAAGGATTCATTCAGGAGATATAAATAGAAGCTTTGAACATGCATCCAGACTTGACAATTACTTTCATATCCTTCATTACTGTGAAGGATATGAATATTTTTCCACAAATTCAGTCTACATTACATGGCACACAGTTTGAACTGTACTTCACTTTGTAAACATGGTGGAGGGTAATCTCTGCAGTGCCATGTGTATGTGTTGTCAGCCTGAGAGCCTCTTCCGAAAAGAGAGCAAGTCTAAGTCTTGTCAGAATTGTGTTCCGGACAAGGCAGCCTCAGCGCTGTTTGAAATCGCTCCAGCAAAAGGGTCACTAAAGGGGACAGGGCGACAAAATAGCTGGGTAAATAAAAGCGTGACTGGCCTGGAGAACCGTGCACCTCCTCCTCCTCCTCCGGGAGCGCTGAGTGAAACACTAAACACAAGCCTGGTACAGAGGTCATTTCCACCCAAGGCTGGAGCCAATGCTTTCATTCCCACCTTTTCTTCGCCTACATTCAACCTTTCATTCATCCCACTCTAAATTAAACTTCTCATCAACTCACACCTCTTTGGCATGATGAGAGACTTTGTCTCCCTTAAGAGTTTGAAACATGGCTCCCATTTCACCTCCTTCCCTTGTGATGCAGCAGTGCATTGTTACTCTTTCTCCACTATGATTCTCTTTGAGAAATATAATGTGGTTCACGTAAGAGGTGATACTCCCAAACAAAGACCTGACATACACTAAATACATGCCAGTTTTGATTAGAAATACCACTTTGATTTATAAGGTGCAACGTTACTGTACAAGAACAAAATAAGAGGAAGGTAGGAGAGTATTTGTTTTGTTAAAAACAGATTTTGTGATCATAACATACAACTTGTGCAGTTGATTCTCGTTTACTTTTATACTATCATATAGATGTATTGTTTGGCCTTCAGCCTTCATTTGTTATGTATCCCCAAGTTTGGGATATACCCGTTGAATATCGGCTTGTACTTGATAATTTTAAGGAAATTAACTTTAATTTTTAGGTATATGAAAGTCAACAGCGTGTGTGTTTTAGTGTGCATGTGTGTGTCTATGTGTGGTTTCAGTTTTGACTGAGCTGAGGAGAAGAAGAGTTTCTAGGTCATGCAAGCGAGCCCATTAGCTCTTCGAGGCTCCAAGCTTTTTTTTTTTCTCTCCCTCCACAACACAGCTTGTGTTTGCACAGGAAACCTTCCCGTGGCTATGCAGTCTCATTTCAATAAGTCAAATAATATTTAAAGATACATCTCGGCTGCAGCTCATCAACCAGCTCTGCTTCAGGAGTCGGCTTTACAGCTGTTCAAAGATTTACTCTCGGAACTTAGAGATAAACAGAATAGATAATGTGCCTTTGAAAAGCAAGACCAGTGTGAAAATGGAGAGGAAGGATTGTTATATTTTCCTTCTGTACTTAATAAGCGTATGTTGGTAGAATAATACATTCATCACCTTTAGCATAGAGTTCATATTTCAGTTCAATTGGCTATACCTCTGAAAGGAGACTTTAATGTGGTGCACAACCAGCACTAGGATGAATTAAGTATTGATGCATTTGTATCAGTTCTATAGATGGACATAAAGCAGAATGTTGGAGTAAATTACAGATCATGAAATCATCATATGACATGCAGATATGTCATAAACTTAAACTTAAAGTAGAGTAATCCATGCTAATACTGCCCAGTTTAAAAGTCTGTCCTCTGGATCAGTCACTTCAGATAAGATGTATGTATTAATGGGAATGGATACAAGTAGTATGTATTAGTATTGTAATGGCTTCTAGCTTTGACACAACATACAAAGCCAGGTTAAAACTAAAGTTTTATCTCAACCAGACGAGCTGTGGGACAGGCTCTGATTGTGTCCTCACCTGGCGATACTCCAGTCAGGCTCGATCTTGAGGATTGTTGGATCGTCTGTGTAGTTGAACTTGACCTCTGGGTTTCTCAGCTCAGCAGCGTTAATGTCCACCATGACTGGGGTGTTGCCTGAGGTTAGTCCCGCCGGGGTCACACACACTATCTCCTTGCTGCTCCGCCTGGAGGAGCATGCGATAAAGGGCGCAAAGAATGACAGAGAAGAAAAACAAAGTTAGATGTTGCATGGAGAGGTCACTGAAGGCTTCGCTTGGTGTGGACTCTGTGCTCCAGTCCCTTCATCAGTAGGTCTGGAGAGGAATGTTGAGAATGTAGGTGACTGACAAGTGATAAGACTATGAGATAGACACAGAATAAAAAATCCCACTTTATCGCTTTAATCACCTTTTAATTATTTATGACATGCCACCAAAAAACAGGCACACACACAGAACTGTGACATAGTCGCCTATTTACAAGGCCAGCATCTTTCAGTCTGTCCAGCAGTGGTTTCATCAGCTTGACTCTCACTCAGTAGGAGAGTATTGGAGTACAGTGCTGTACTTCAAAGCTCTATCTTCTCTCTCTCCCTCTCTCCCTGTATGTCTGTCTCTCCTTCCCTCCTGCGCTTTCTCTGGCTGATAGATCTGAAGTGGCAGATCAGGCTGGTCGTCTCTCTGTGTGATGTAACTCCCTCCCTAGCAGACAGGCAGCCAGCTGTGACCTGCTGGGAAAACTTTGTGCTGCTGCCAGAAACTTTGCGCTCCACTCCAGTGGCTCATTGAATCCCCCCCAACCCCCCTTCCCCCTGTGTCGACCAGGCAGTGGGTTGAGGGCTACCTATGAGATAGTGTGTGTACACTATATGTACTAATGTGCAGTATGGGTGTAATCAGTGTGTTACGCTGGTGTTGTTGCAGTGTGTGAAGGTCTTTAAATTAGAAGATTAACATTCAGTAACTGTGTGTTTTTTGTCAACTGATGTCCTAAAATGCACTACCCATCTGTGTCAACTGGTGTTAATGCATTGTGAGCAAGTGCGTAAAGACGGCAAAAGAGAGCAAAAACAGGGACGTCTTTGTCGGACACATTCGCGCCGTCTCCAGGGAGGCAACAGCGTCCTCAGAGTGAGACAGGACTGGAGAGAGGGGATGAAGATAGAAGAAAAATAGAAGGAGGAGGATATAAAATTAAAAAAAAACACAGCCTTTCCACATTCCGCTAGTGCCGCGTTTCCATGGCAACCTCTTGCACAACACTTTCGTCCTCAAGAGCGCCTGTGGTGCCGCATACGGATTTTTTGACAAGGTTGCGGCCACACAAAAGAAAGCCAAGAGGGGATACAGGGAGAGAAAAGAGAAGGGAAGGAAAAAGGGGGTGCAGAGGGAGATAAGAGGATGAGTGACTTGAGGTAAATAGGTTTTGATTAAAGCGGAGGCCTCACTGAATACAAAGACACATTAAAAGAGATGGACTTATCCAGTTCATTACTTGGGCCATAAAGGTTATTGCTGCTCAGTGAATTAAAGGCCAAGACTATTATGTTCACCTTTCTCAGGATGAGCTACAGAGCTTTAAATTGGCCTTTACTTTTTCTTTTGATATGATATAAAAAGAACTTGATAGGTTCCAAGCTCATTATCTTATGCTGTCACTTGTTGCCTGAAAGAAAGAAAGCACTATAAGAAAAACTCTGATGTCGTAATGAGTTTGTTCTAAAACAAGAAACAACAGAGATCGTTCACCAGAGTTCAGTTTCTGTGGAAAATGTATACGAGGAGGGAAGACATTCTGTTTCAAAATTCCTTTATGACAATAAGTACCATGACAATAAGTACCATGCCCAAGCACGTTTAACCCCCGAATTTGTTTAACCAGTGGGAGTGCTCAAGCATGCTAGACTACCTTGGCCCTGGCACTGTTGGAAGACATGTGCTTCGGTACAGTTGCTCATACACAAGCCTAGGTACGCAATGTGGACATGACCAATGAGTGCAGGCCTAGTGTGACTGCGCCCTTAGTAAAAAAAAAGGGCTTGTTTTAGTTCACTGATAATCTTTTCTGAGAGGTTTCTTTCCACTGCCATCTGTCAGACAGCATACATGAGTGGATTTAGTCCAGACTTCAGTTTACTGCCACTTTGCCAAGAAGAGACTCAACGAGACAAAAGACTTCTTGGCTTGAGGAATTAGAGTCATATCAAACTGGATCCTTGTCTCTTCTTGAAATCCTGTCACAATCTCTTGCAGAGTGAGTGACAACCGAAGATAAGGTGGAAGATTATTCTTAAAATAAAAAAAAGGGAACAAAAATGACACATTGAAACATGAGTTCAAAGCAGGAAAATATGAGTTACAAATTAGGAGCAACACCATATCAGTGCTTCTATATTATAGTCATCTCTTTCAAAATGTGGGTCATGCACTTAAGCCATTCACAGCACCAATGAACAATGATATCAGCTTTCCCGAGAATGACTACACTGTCATTCTCACAATTGCTGTGAATTACAGTACTGCAGGTCATCCACTTGCTGACTGCATTCATCAGACCTGCTGCAAATGAAAGGAAGCAACCAGGTAAAAGAGATTTTTTTTCTTTTTCAAAAGGAATAATTATTAAATGCTGAAGAACAGGAAAATATGGCAGATTGCAGGAGTAAAAAAGAAGGGAGGTGAAAATTACAGTGCAGCATGATTTGTTTATGTCTGCAGAGGAGCATAATCTAAAAAGAAATTTCAGAGTGAAAAATGACATTTGAATAATTTCTCTAGAAATCACCTGGAAAAACAAACCGTAGAATTAAAAGGTAACTTTAACTCACCTTTCAAAGCGACATGGATGAAGTCCTATCTTTACAGATACAGCGCTTCCTGCATTGAGATTACTGCCATTAATGGTGATTCTTGTTCCTCCAGACAGTGGCCCAGTGGAAGGGGATACAAGGGTAAAGTATGGAGACTGAGGAGGGACACAAACAGGAGGTTTAATTAAGGCTGCAAAGCTTCAACAGAGATGCAATCTAATACTTTATTTTAAAAAAAACATCCAAAGAGCTTTTATTTAAGATGCAATTTTACTACACTAGATCATCCCTTACCACAAAGGTGAAGGCCTTGGTGGACACTGCTTTGTAGTCCGGGTGAATGCAGTCCCTGACGCACACTTCTACCTGAGCGTCCTGCACCCTGTAACCTGTGGCATCGTTCAGCCGGCAAACAATCCTGCAATGAGGAAAAAACGGACACAAAAAGGTGAGTTCCTGCAAAAATAAATACATGACTTTGTCTGCTTGACAATAAGACAGCCATTCCAGGATAAAAAAATGTTCTTGGCTGAAGACGGAGTAAGTGAGGGAAAGAGATAGAGAAACAGTACTGAACAGATGATAGCGCAAAATTTTTCTTCTGCTCAATCCAAGTCCAAGAAAATGTACAAACTGTTTCGAAAGCCTTGTTCTTGAGTATAACACAAAGCAGAATAAATGTTAAAGTAAAGGAATGCTGCAGTGCTAAGACAAGGTGTGTGTGTGTGTGTGTGTGTGTGTGTGTGTGTGTGTGTGTGTTCATGAGTGTCTCTGCATTAGTGCGCAGTGTAAAACCATCAGCATTGCACTTGGCCTTGGGTGCTGGCTGGCCAAACGAAAAACCACTGGAGAGATGATTGAGTGAGGGGAAGGGGCGGGAATGGCAGTGTAGCCCACGGGGAGACACACACACACACACACTTCATGTTTCACCCACTGGAGACACACTTGACTGTTAATTAGCCAGAGCGAATGAATAAGACAGAGAGAAAGGGTGAGAGTGCAGAGGAGAGAGAGGGAGCAGAGAAAGACAGAGAGTGAGAGAGAGAGAGAGAGGGTTAAAGAGAGAGAGAGAGGCTGAGGCTGATTAATTGAACGAGCTCATATCCTGCACATCTCCTCAGCTTCCCTCCCTCCCTGAGATGAGTTATTAACTCTCCTGCTTCCATCCTCCCTGCAGGTGGCCATGGCAACTGCAGTGGCGATGAATTCCACATTCCGATGCTGCTCGTTTCCATTGTTTTTATTTTCCCTTTCATTTATTCCCCAGGTCTCCCTCTGTGACAGGGGCTACCATTAAAATGCTGGACAGCTCTCAGTTAGAAACGGCAGCTTCACTTGCATCATTACCGCACAGATGACAGGTGGCTACATTGAGCTGTTATTATGTGGTTAGAAAGACAGAACATTCATGGTACATTTGCGAAGATGGCAACAATATAATTTATAACTCCCTCAATCAAATTACTGAGGGAAATGTGATGGTAACAAATTATTCATGAGCCAAATTGTCACCTGGAAACTAATAAGGCAATGGAAAAAGGATACCAGGCTCTTTTTTTATCCTCATTACTGGCAATGATTTACTTTTTTTCAATGTGCAATCAAATCCATCTATTGAATAGCTGAGCTGAATGACGAGTCTGCTTATTAAAAAAATGTTTTTTCTTGCACTTTCATTTCACTTGGCAGGCGTGGCAGAGAGACAAATAAAACGGAGACGAGAACAATGTGTCCACATTTTGTCCAACAGTTAGTGAACCTTTCTTCTCTCCAGCGGGTGACCTTTGAGCTCTGCTGTCAGTCCCCTAACCCCATCCTGTCTCCTGTGCCACAGCTCTGATGGGGTCATAGGAATGACGAGAGGAACTGGGCCACTAATGGCACCGTATGGCTAACATCACTTTTAATTAGCATGACAGCCTTACAGCCAGCCGCACCCTCCTCCACCTCGTTCTCTGGGCGCCATGGCAACAGGCCAATGCTGTGTTACAGGGCCGACGGGGTTAAACGTCGACACCTTGGTGGTTTTTTGGACGTAATCGCTACACTGTAATGGACATGTGGTGGAGAAGAAATAATCACCTCATATTAGGCTGCTGCTACATGAAGACGCAGTATGTACTGTGTGAACAACATATGAAGTTATACATTATAAATCAAGTCTCAAATGTCACTGCTGAGTTTTTACGCCCATTTCGAGGACACCTGCCATCTCTAGAGAGCACTGCACAGCATTCTGTTGTCCTGATTGTCAAACCATCAAAGTCACATTTCTACATTTTCTTCTTAGTGAGAGAGCCAGTGTGAAAACTAAATCTGCTGGGATTGTGCTGCAAAACTCACATTTGTGTACAAATGACAGCTACATGCTTGGAAATAGAATATTGAGGACACCTCCAGCAGTGACGAGCGTCCCCATTTTTCTCCTCGCTCTAATGTGTCTTCTATGCTTCCGGATGAATTCAACATAAAATAGAGAGTGTGACTCATCCAGTAGTTTCTCAGAAGGCCCTGATCTTTCTGCGGGGCTGTAATAGCAGCAGAGCTAGCCTCACACAGGCTGTGGTTATGAGAAAATACGTTGTGCAATCTAATTAATGAATTTCACCAATATTCTTTCAATAGAACTTGAAAAACTTAAGAGACATTTATGAAGGGCAACCCAAGAGGTCATTCATGTTCTATAGACAGAGTAACTTAATAGACATGATTGTTTTCTGTTGTTCCTGAAGCTAAGCTTTTCTCGGTAAAAAATGACTACAGTTATAAAAATTGAATTAATTTCACCTTTAACAACAGCAGTGATTCAGAATTTCTCAGAAAGTTGTTGAAAAAACTAAATCAGAGGGAGCATTCACATGAAACGCTGTCATTTGAAGAGAGTTTGGAAGATATATATATCAACCCCTTCTAATGGCCAAACCTTTTTTTCACAATAGGCCAAACCAGTTCTGATTAAGGTCTTAGCTGCACAACACCCGGCAGCACCAAAACGATGATGAAAAAAAAAATGATGCTAGCGATGAATTGGTTTTGTTTGAACAAGCAGAGAAGTGTTTAACCATTGAAGGGTTACCACAAACAGAGGTCTAAGAGAGAGGCAGTGTTGTGCTTAGCAGTCTGTGTCACGTCAATATTGGACAAAGGCAAGCATGGAAGTAAAGAATCTGAGAAACAGGAAGGTTTGGTGTGAGGGGATGAAGACACGTACTGCTCAGCACTGATGTACTGGTCCTCCTGAGGGTTGCAGGCCACCTTGCCGATGCGGACTCCACTCTGGATGTCTTTAAACTGCAGACCCAGGTTCTCCCCTGTGATGGTCAGCATGGTTCCTCCCTGCCTGGGCCCCGTCTCTGGAAACAACTGGATGAAAAAAGAAATTAAAGAGGACATATGTTAGCCAGAACAAATGTATGTGCCTATTGATTTTCATCCAAGGCAGTAAATCATAGAACATATACTGTATGTCTGCATGGATGACAGTTTACTTAAGTCATTATGGTCACCATTCGTTGTGAATGGCTAGGATACTTGCTACCTCATTAAGGGAGATGAAAAATGACCTTGGATTCATTAACTCAGCCTCAACTCAGTCAAACATTCACAACCTGCCAACTCACACACTTAACCTGGACCCACCCATCAAGCCCTCACTTACATCTCTCATTTAACCTTGTGACGATTAATCTACTGAACACAATTACTCCACACGGCGACCTCTGATCCCTCTCCTTCCCCTAGAGGTCTGCAAAAGGTGTGCGGAGGTGCTAATGGCTACCCGAGGCTAGCCCAATCACTAATCACCGTCCCATTCATCCAGCCGACAGACGCAGACAATGGCCCCTTTGGTAATCAGTCATTACTAGCATAATTAGGGCTAAAGCTAATTGGATTAGAACCTGGCGGGGGGAGGGGGGTCATTTGTCACAGCAGGTTGGGACTAGGGCGAAGGGGGATCAGACGTTGGTGATTGGGTGTCTTGAAGTAGGGCTGTGGGTAAGGTCCATCTTTGACCCGGCTTGCCATAAAGAAAGGATAAAATGAATTACAAATTAAGCTCCCATTCTTATTCTCAGTCATGTCCCCGAAAGAAAGAAAGAAGCCCTGTACACGTAGAATACAAGTGCAAAACGACTGAAGTATTCAAATACAATTAGTGACCCAATGATTTCCCTTTATGTTGATCAGTTTCAAAGCTAACAACATTTCTGATGAAAAAGAGCTGGTTCTGTAAGCTTGGCGACGTGGTGACTTGTCTGCTTGTTTGTTGTAGACCAAAGTGCAAAAACAAGGCTTGTTCCCTCGAGCAAAATACAACTGCTACTACCCAGACATTCACAAACAATCCAGATCTATCTTGTTTAGTTTAGACGGATTAAAAAAAAAAAGATGCAGATACAAATTTATTTCAGTTAAATTGAAGCTAGCTGTTTCATTCTGTTTGCAGTCTTCGTGCTAAGTTAAGCTAACTTGCTGGGGCTAAAACTTAACGGGAGAGTCTATCATCACACACAAACCCTGGTCAAAAGGGAACAAGTTCATTTTCAAAAAATGTTTGAAAATGAACTTATGTCTTATTTAAGTGTAATTCAACATCTGATTTAAGTGTAGCGTATGTCTCACATCTAAATTAGATCAACTCTCTTAACCTGCTTTCTACATTTTTCCATCTTCGTACCTGACAATGATCTTCAGCCTAACATCATTATAGAAAAGATGGCAGGCTAGTAAAAGCCACAGGTGTTCAGGACACCACTAACAGAAACACACAATGGGAACAAAGCCCACTGTCATGTGGGCCAGAACTGAAATGCCACAGTGATAGAATTAAGGAGTGTTTTTCCATCTTACACAGGCTAAGCTTCTGATGAACATCTCTCCTCTCTCCCTCACCCTTTCCCTCTCCGTGTTTTTTCTTTTAATTCACTCTCTGTCTCTTTGTCAATGCGCCTGAATGCATTTATTTCAGATGGAGACAAAGGAGTGAGTGGCACACAGTGGTGCACCAGTCAGAATCTTCAGATATGGTAATCAAATCTTTTTTTTCCCTCCATAAGCACCGGCTTATCAAAACACAAACACACACTCATATACAAGTTGTTGCATCCACAACCAAACAAGACAAACAAAAAGCCCTTTTGGATAAAAGCTACCAGCCTAAACACTCGCTCTATTCTCCTCTCGCTATCACAGTGCCCAACACTCATTCAAACCCCCTTTTTTTTCCCTCTTCGTCTCCTCTTCCTCCCGTTGTGTCGGAGGCTTTGTGTGAGGCCTATTGTGGCTGGCTGAGCAGATAGCATCTGTTAGTTATTGGAAAAGGAGCAGGAGGAGGAGGAGGAGGAGGAAGGGAGCAGAGGACACACTAAGAGATAGTATAAACATGGTGAAAGGATTCTGAAGTTTATCTAGTTGTATGAAAGCCTTTCAAAAAAAGTCACAAACAAACTGATGGAGGCATAGAGTGAGTGATAAACGGGGGTGTTATAAGTGTTTACCAACAAATGTTAACATGTAGCTAATTGAAAAAGGACATTACTAAGATGTGTATCCATGCAGACATACGGAAGAAACTGTGACACACTGGGAAAATCCCACTGGGACAAATGGCTGAACTGGTTGTATTACTGTTGTTACACGTTGACAACATGTCAGATGGTATGATCATTACAAATGTAGAAGTAATACAACAGCTTAATTTAGAAATAATATTATTGTTAAGCCAATTGCTAAATCCCTTTTATGAATAATAAACCAGATTATTTATTCTGCATAATTTAGCTGTCTTAATTATTACTCTTCAAGCTGTAACAGTGAGACCTTTCTTCAGCAACAATATGACAGAGGTCTGGACAATACAGGCCTTTAGATAACAAGACAGACATCTCTCTTACTTTTAAATAACAGAGGAGGCGAGAAAGAAAAGAAAAGTTAAGAGGAGGAGGATATGCGTCCTGACCTTAATCCATGCATAAATCAGATACTTTTAGAGCACGCAAACAACAATCTCTTATAAACAGGGGATCACAAAGAAGTCAAAAATGCCTTATGCGAAAACATTAACAAATACACTACCCCTAACATGCACACACACATACACTGACACACACGAGTCTGGTCTGTGTTGTTTTAATTGGTTTCTAAGGGCGAGCTGTAATGCTCTTCCTGTCCCCTAGGAGAAGGCAGGCAGGAGATGATGGATGATGGAGGGCCAGGCAGCATCCAAGGCCAGTACTAGGACACTGCTGCACCACACCAGGCAGTGTGTGTGTGTGTGTGTGTGTGTGTTTGTTTTTTTGCACAATGGTCACTGTGATTGTGGCTGGGATTGTGACTTGTGATTTGAGGTTACCCCAAAAGCTACACTTTGTAACTTATTTTATCTCCAACTTTAAACATGTTATATTGTCTGTAAACAGACTTCCTGAAAAATGTGTGTGTTTACAAGTGGGAGCGTTTTTTTTATTTATTTGTGTGTCTTTTCACACACAAACATTCAAGAACTGTGTGTTTGCATGCAGTGAAAGGAGAAGTAATTAATCTTTGTGCACAATGTCAGTGCAGACTATAAATACGGCACAATAAAAAGAGCACTTTTACAGCCAAACAACCAAATTCTTACAATGTCTAAAACGAATCATTCAGGGCTTATAACACAAATTGCTGTGTTTGGAGAACAGCGTTAAGGTGCCAGAGCCATTACTGGAACGGTACCCAACTGCACACTATCGAACAATGTCAAATGGGCAATAGTACGCTCAGAAATGACACAAAATAGGTTCAGCGCTTACTGTTCTGAAAGCTCTGGGTAGCTATGTGTCTGTGTGTTGTGTGTGTGGACACACTCTTTCTCTCTCTCCAGCTGCAATTCCTTCCCGGTAGAACTCACATTCTCCAGTTCAAATGAAATTAGCAGCTAATCCCCTAGCTAATGGCCACACAGTGGTTTGCATGCAGCAAAAAATGAACAAAGAAGCTTGAATAATTCAAAAAGAAATACAAAAAAAAGGGGTTGTCTAACAAGGAAAAGTGGATTTGACAGAATGGACAGGGGAAAAGTGGAGTAATATTCAATTTGTGTAATGCATGTGATGCTCTTTGAGAGAACTGAGGGATGAAATGGCAGAGGAAGAAGGAGAGCTTTTGTTGGTCGCCTCCGGATGTTCTTTTGGCATGAAATGTCACACTGTAAATGTCAAAGGTGGAGAGGAGAGGTAAGGCTGGCAGTGCTGCTTGCCGATAACGCTTCCTCTGTTGTCTCTCTTTTGTTCTATTCTTCTTTGTATCTTCCAAGTTCTGCAGACCTGCTGTAGGTTTCTCCTCCTGCTGCTTTTGAAGATCCTCTACGTCTCTTTTTTTTTTTTTTGACTGCCACCAACATCATGCCCTGAGGCCAGGATTTATCCCTCAATATGCATGCAGGAGCACATGCTTGCATGTAGATGCACATCCAAGGCCCAACCCATCATACAGCTCTGCCCCCCCATGTCTTTCAAACATACACACACAACCCAATTGCTTCTGTACGCTTGTTGCTAAGAGATAACTGAAGCGAGCAAGACAGAACATTAGCTAACAGATTTATCTATGTGCCAGTGCCCCAATTATCCAATATCTCCATTACACATTCAGAGAGGCGAACCCCTGTCACACAGGAAATGTTCTGAGGGCTCCCGCCATAAAAGTCTGCATCGATGAAACAGGCATGCATTAGAAACTATACATATATTTCACACTCATTTAAATTGGGAGAAGTGGCCCTCGCTTTGATTGAGAAAAAAGCTTCAATTCATTGAAGATGCAATTTAATTTAAAGGAAAAATGTTTAAAGAAGGAAAGATGGAGAGAAAGAGAAGAAGGGAAGAGAGCAGAGGAAGGGATGAGAATGATTAAAGGGTCAAGACTCCTTTCACAAAGTGGTGCATGTGTTTGTCCGTCAGAGTGTGTGTGTGTGTGTGTGTGTGTGTGTGTGTGTGTGTGTGTGTGTGTGTGTGTGTGTGTGTGTGTGTGTGTGTGTGTGTGTGTGTGTGTGTGTGTGTGTGTGTGTGTGTGTGTGTGTGTGTGTGTGTGTGTGTGTGTGTGTGTGTGTGTGTGTGTACATCAGTCCCAGTGTTGAGCTTTGAGGACGCTGACCCGGGTCACAGTCAGACCAGGACCACTGCCACAGCTCCAAGTGGCAGCAGATGGGTACACCAGGATGCTTAGACGCCTTTGCTCACACAGTCTGTCACATGCACACACACTTTCTACGCCCATGGTGGGACACAATTAGCACACCTCCACTTTTTTTTTGTTTCCTTTCTGCACACATGCACTCTAGACATTCATCCTCTCCACCACCTCAGGTGTGTGTGTGCGTGTGAGTGTGTGTGTTTGCATGTGTAGACATCATCTCTAATCCCGTCAGTGTGTTCAGTCGTGGTGTGTGTGAACTGCCTCCTCCTGGCCGGCCCATCTGTGTTGTGGTTGCAGTCATGGTGATTGCTTCTAAGTTGTCTCTCCTCCCTGCTGCCTCCCAAACTCGCTGGGAACAAACAATGACGCAGCACAGGTAGGATGACTAATCTCGTCCTTTGGAAACTTTATTTTACAAATGAGCGGACTAAGATAATCCCCTCATTTGTGTCAAAGAGGAAGTGTTGTATTTCGAAGATGGCCGGCATCAAGAGGTGGTGAACTTGGCCCCTTACCCTTTGACGCCTTTCCCTAGAAGAAACCTGACTGCTGTCTGTTGAAGTTTGAGTGGCTAAGAAAAGCAAACCATAGCAGCTTAAGTGTCTACTGTAACTTAATGAGCGGTTTTCCATTTCTTTGCATACAGCAGCTCCATGTTGGTTTCTGAATGGGCTGCAGCCTTGGAGTGACCTTGGGCTGCCGCGACTGCATATACAGTAGTATCTAAATACTACATAACAAAAATGATAGTATGGCTTTGGATAATCCATGTTTATTATACAGTAACTGCATTAATGCGTATGTTGTTGGGTGTAAAGCACCTTAAAACTATCATGAAGAAGCAGTTGTGTGTACTTGTGGTTATAAATATGCAGTACTAAACTATAAGCTACCTTCCTCAGCTGCTGTACGGCATCCTGAACGAGTGTGTGTCTTCACAATGAAGCCTTACCTTGGTGATCTTGGGATGTGCACAGCGACTGTTTCCTGTGGTGGCGTGCATCCATGTGGTCTCTGGAGGAGTGCACTCCTGCCTCAGGGAGCACTTCTTCTCCTGTACGCACCAGCCACACTCGAACCTGGGGTTTGCCTTCAGACACATCCCACAGCTGTCCCTCAGCGCATAGCATTTATACAGGTGGGCTGGTGAGGCAGAAAGAAGAAAGGTTCAGGAAATTAAGTAAATTATTAGAGGGTGGGAAAGGAGGCCAGAAAAGGATTAAGAACCATCAAAATAGTTTAGTGTTTAAATATTACATTACAACCTATAAAGGTAGTTTACACTTAAAAAATAAAAACACAAAAATATTTCTGTTTTTAGTTGATCAACTTAAAAAAAAATCCCAAACTTATCGAGTGTCACTGAGTAAAAGTTAAGTCAAGACATTATTTCCCAAAGACCTCAGAATATGTACAGGGACTTTCTCTCTCTCTCTCTGTTATTTCATCCCCAAATCCCATTGGTCATGGAGCAGCTTTAGCGCAACCCTGTACCAATTAGGGGCTTCTAAACGACTCCTCTCTAATTACATTAACATATCAGTATTTCAGACGAGTGAGCATCACTCACACTCCACCAGAGGATTATCATGATTCAAAAATAGGGAGGGTGCAGATGGTGAAGCGAGATACAGGGAGAGAAGGAGACATCTTTGGGCTATAGGTCGCCCTTCAGGAGATGAAGGCTTGAGATAAGGCACGATGCTAGACGCTAATGCATGCTGCAGGCATTGTACGCTCTCAATGCTGCTTTATTTATTGAAAGATGCTATTTACCAGCACTTTGTCTTTTGGAGAACCACTGTCTGTCAAAGCATTTAATATTGCCTCCATGAATATAAACACCCCACTGTTGAGAATTGCAGTAGGGTCCCTATGTCTATAAACTTAAGTCTCGTCTATGTTACAAACACATCAATATAACATATCAGTGTATGTGAAACTTGAGAGCTCAACAGCTTGCTTGATACATTACAGGGAGCAACATCAATACATGGAACAAAGTGACTCAGTGATGTTACTTTACATTACTGGCAGAGTGGCAATGAACACTGCTTCACAGACTTTCAGACATAACAACCTCTAATCAAAAATACAACATGAAAATCACAGCTGCTGCTTCTTCTTTAAAAAAAAAAAAAAAAATCAGAATAACAAAACAGAACCATACAATGCTGGATCCCTCTGCTGCACTGAAGCCCTTATGCATGTCATCAACAGGACTAATCAAATGCAGTGGTTGGTGGTTTGTGCAGATGATGTTACCTGACCTCCCAGAAGGGGAATAGAGTTACTGACCCCTGCTGTGCTGTTCAGGCTACAATGATTATGTAGACTATCCAATAAGTAATTATATATAGCAGACATGATCTCATGCTCTTCTCCCAGAGAGGTGCATACACACGTTATGGTTCTAAGCAATGTGTTCAAACATCAGTGTGTATATGATAAGACTGTGTAAAAACAGTATATACAACATATAATACTGTATTCAGCTAATTAGGGATGCTTTCCTTCTTACAATGTATCTTGCAAAACAGAATTATGATGTGATGCATTGTGGGGTAGAAAAATGAGCCGATGAAACAGATGAAACACGTGTCCATTGTTATTGATATCGCTCAGTTTCACTATATCTATGTCCAACACCAACACAAGTGATCTGACAGAATGAGGATATCAATGCAAACTAAAGGCTGATTTCATTATTGGTCATGAGATTTAAAAATGACTCTGCAGATGGAGCTGTCTTTGAGAGAGTTATAAAACAAGTGTGTGTACAGGTTCTGTTGTTTGGGAAACAATGTCAGCCCTGACTTAGAACAAAAAAACAGCCAAATCAATACAGCTTCTTTGACAGCAAAGTTAAGTCTATGTGTTTTGTTCAAGGATAAGAGGCAGGTAGTTACAGATAAAACTGCTAAATGTAAGAATACTCATTATAAACTACACTGTCGATTCCTTCTCTCCATGTGCTTTAATAACTAGAACCAATAAAGGTGGATGAGACGGCACCACTATATCTCACCTTGGATGTTGTAGGGATTGTCGATGACAAAGTTCCCATTCCAAACCACGGACAAATCCACAGGTAGGTCACTGATGTCATTGCCCTCATAGGTATACTGAAATATAAAAGAACAACATCAGGATTAGTATTCACAATTATATCATTATTAGAAAAAAATTCTCACACCGTATATTTCATTGACCCTAACAACATCATTCGGCCTTCTCTGCCATTAAAGAAAATATATGAAATCGGCAAAAGAGAAGACAATCTGAAACAGCACACACAGTTCAGCTCGTAGTTGCTGGTGGTAATGTCATACCCCACAGCGCTCACACAGTCGAAGGGCCATAAAAATGAATGATGAAAGACAGGCTATATTGTGATTTTAACACGCAGCACATCCGCCGCTGCCTGGCAGAGCACAGAGTTGATTAAGAGATTGGAATCCCGTTTGCCGTGTGACTCATTTCATTCCAGTGATGAATGAAAAGCGTATACATCTCCAACAATAATATTCTCATCTAATTTCATTTTTTGCATCCTGAACTAATAAGAGTTGAAATGTAATTGACTCGTCATCGGCGTAATCAGTTTTATGGAATCGCTTTAAATGAGACAACAAGCTGCAAAAACTGCGATGTGATGTGCGGTGTGTTAACTGTGGGAATAACAGAGAAAGAGCTCCTATGAGACCCCGACCCGATTAAATAAATCATCTACCACAATTATCACCGGCAAATAAAATGCAGCTTTAGATGTTACACTGCCTCTTCAATCCTCCACTCTCACTTTCACAGAGCAGCCACGGTAAAAACACAATCATGTCATTCATCAAGAGCCCCACACCCCCCATGTCTGAGACACATTTTTGCATTATTTACTCCTCCTTTCATTAATTGCCTTTGATACAACATTAAACAGAAGCTGGATAGCAGGAGTGTGCCTGTGGTCTTCTTTGATGCTGCTGCTCTGATGTGATGGCTGGGAAGACTCCAGATAGGTCGTGTTAACCTAATGCCTCCGTCAGTCAAAGAGTGCCTGGTCACTCTCACTAACACTGCAGTGGTCACTATCTTCAGTGGCCTCAGGGTGACAGATTACAGGACTATTCTCCTCTAGTGAAGTGGTGATAAAATCCAGTGTGAAAGCCACAAGCCTGAGGCTATGGGCCCCTTCACAGATTGAATCTAGCTACAACTTTGCCACTGTGGGATATCACCCACTCCAATGCGATACTGTGAGAATTATCTGGACATCTGTAATAATAGTGAATTTGAATGTATTTGAGGGGAAAGAAGTTAGAAATGTGCAGAGAAAAGATAAGAAAATGAGGGGACTAAGCCATGTCAGAATGAGTGAATGGCTGATTAATTAATTCTTCACTTTTTATGATTTGATGATTTACATCCAGTATCCTGAAGGCTGAAGATGCTGATATCCAAAGATTTTTTTTACATGTATCTCAGGAGAATTAATACTTTAAATTTAGAGGTTTTTTTTTTTTTTTTTTTAATGGAAAATGCTCCAGGATGTGTTTTCTAGCTAATTTTGAGGATATAATATTTAGTAGCCTTGACCTTCGTTTAGGAAACATTTACCTGTGTAAATGCTTTTATTTTATTTGGATTTTTTAAACGAGAGATATTTAATTGGTACATGATTCTGATAATATATTTATTGGTGAAATCATTCCTAAGTCAACACACTTTGAAATAACAAGAATTGTAAGAAAGTATCATCTCCTTCGAGGTGAGTGAACTTGGTTACTTGAGACAACATCATGGCATGTATGCAGGAGTAAAATGCTTTTTGGGTATGTGAACAGGACAGAGTTGGGGTAGAGGCGGCAAGAAAAAAGACAATCTGAAAGAGTGGAAAAAATACTAGATACAGAGAAAATGTGAGAAAAAGTAGAAAAGTGATGGGTAAAATACTGGAAAATGTTGGGAATGACTTATGGGTTGAAAAGACAAGGCTGGATCTGCTGAGACAAGTGGAGTGTGGGGAGCAAAACAATGAAAAAGATGGTGATAAGAAGGATGAGAAAGTGGGCAGGGAGAAGAGGTGGAGAGGGGATGATACTGCAGCAAGGGTGAAGCAGAAATAGCGAGGGCGAGATGGATAGAGAGAGGTGATTGTGTGTTATTCTGTGGACACCATTCATTTACACATGGAATAAGAGGCCGGCCCTGGCCTGTAAGCGCCTGAGTCGGTGGGGGCTAAAGTGAAATTGGCATTTTCAATTTGTTCCCTGACATGTCTGCCTTGGTCTTTTCACACATTCCTCTGCCTCACCCTCTCTTGCAATCCTCCGTTCCACCCACTCTCTCTCTCTCTCTCCCCTTCTCATTATTCCTTCCCTCTACCTTTTTTACAAACCTCCTCCCCCATCAATCTCAGTTGGACTCTCTCTCTCCCCTGCTTTCCTCCCCTAAGACGCCCACAGTCAAACAAGGAAATCACATATAGCAAACATGTCTATAAAAACACATGAGCACACTCTAATATAAATATGCATTCTACACTAGAATACTTTCCAGAAGACGGATACGAGAGAGTGCATCAAAGATAGATTGCACAGCACTGTTCAGGATATACAAAATAATAAATAATCACTCTTGGAAAACACAGGCAGATAAGACGCGTAAAAGACAACACATGTTTTTGGTGTCAGCTATTACTTCTCTCCACTGAAGTCCAACAATACAAACTTCTTCAGGCTTTCTCTCCCTTCCTTCTTTCCCCTCAACCCCGTGAGACCACCCAGTCAGCCATGGGAACAAGAACACCTCTTCATCAGGAGGATATGGAGAGAGCACATGAGTGTGTTGAGTTTGTACATGCATGCAAGACAATGAGAGAGAAGAAGAGAAAAGTTAAGAAAGTGTAATGAGAACATGTAGCTGTAGATAGAGGACGAGTTACAGAAGAGAGAAAGTGAGAGAAGAAGAGAAAGACATATTACACATTTACATGAGTGTGGTTCAAAACTGGAGGAATTCAAAACCATAACAACTGCAGCAATAAAGCTGTTTTCAGATATATTTTATTAAAAATAACTCATGAAGAGAATTAGCTGCTTATTATTTTAGTTGGCTAGAAAACCAACAACATACAGGTCGGGTATAAATTATATTAGACAGCCAAACCAAAACATGACAACATACAAACTAACTTAGATAAAGCCCCTTGTATACATTAACAAATCAAGAATGGACTTTTACATCCCTGTTGTGCTTCCCCGTCAATGTAAATGTCAAAGTGGTGTCATGGTGGGGCCGAAGGGGTTCAGCCAAATCGGATGTAGTAATCGAGGCGTAACTGGGGCGTAATGGGATCCCTGTTTTACACCTAAACTGGTTAGGCAGAACAACCCTGTGTGTGTACAGTATGTTAAGCTCCTGCTGTTTGTTCACACACCCTGCCGTGACGCTTTATACAACTCTCATACCGGGACACCAGAACTACATTGTTTCAGATCAATGTAAAAGTTGTAATGATGGCAGAGCTTTGTTATGCCACTGTGGCAGACTTGCAAAGTCAAAAGGCTCAAGATTGTGATTTTGTTCGAGCCAGGGACGAAAGCTAAATCTGAGAAAAAAAACTTTGTAGCCAATAATCTGAGAGGATACTAAGCTGTCGTTAGGAGATGCTGGATGATGAGACCAAAGAGGCTGTTTTTTGAAGTCACACTTTTTAACATCATTAAAATTCAAAAGTGGATGGGTTTGTCAGCAGAGAGAAATATTTCAGAAAACAGAAACTTGAGAACTTGGTAATTAAATATCAAATGTATTACAAGTTGAATAATGTATGTATTTTTCTATTTAACTGTTATATAAGCAGACTATTCTTGCTGTTGTGTTTCTGTTTATCCCATCGGAGCTTCTTTCCACTTTTATCCCGATTCTCTCCAAACCGGCCAATCAGATCACAGCCTGATCTCCCCTCTGAGGATGCCAATTGGGTTGATAGTGATACAGATGATAAGACTTAAGGAAACCTCTTAGCTTTGCTTTACACAGGTCACACACGATAGAAGTGTGGAGCTGCAGACTGCTAAAATAATAACACAGCATGCCCTCTTCCCCTTGTTTCATCCACGTTACCTGTACGTGTCTGTGATTCAACATCAATCCTCAAAGGGCAGGTGTATGTTGAGGGAGGGGATTCTGGGATTTGCTTGGGCATGTTCCTTTGCTCAACAACAAACATGAATATTTAGTTAGGGAGAGGTGTGTATGTGCGTGTATGTGTGTTTAATGGGCAGTAGCGGGTGGGGGAAGCAATGGAAAGGTTAGGTTATGATCATCCCCTCTTATTGCACCAAAGGCTTATTAAACTTTTATACTGAACCAGCATTGTTGCACCATGTGCAGTTGAGGGAATACACACATGCACCCTGTACATGGTTTATTCACTGCACAGCTGATTCAAAGAAGAAAATGTAAGCATTCAGCAGGACACTCTCAAAAGTTCAGGATTTGCATTTGTGTCGGAAAGGAGGCAATTAAAAACATTACATTTAACATGTTCTACAATTTACATGTAGTACAGTTAAGAAATGGTGATTTAGACAACTGTTTTGTCTACAACTGTTGAGGATAGATCAAAAAGCCCCCCCAAAATGGGAGGTCAGGGGAAGGACAAAAAAAGAGGGTTTGTTTGGAGTTATTCAGAGAATACATACACAGAGCTAAATAAAACTCAACTAGTGGAAGCAGAGGACAAAAAAGATTAAATGTACAAGGTATTGAATGTAGGGTATAGTTACGAAGACAGAAGCTGATAGATAAGGTCAACAAACAGAGGGATTAAGGAATGAGATTTTTTAATTAAAGCCAGACTTGTCCTACAACATGAGAAGTGTCAATTAATACATCGCAGCACCACAAGCTGGACCTCTGTCACTGCGAACTGAAGGACGGGAGGCAAGGATAGATGGATGGAGACGGAAGGATGAAAGAAGGCAGGTTTCAAGTAACAAGGGGTACCTTCTGTGAGGGTCACAGCCTGATAATTAGTCATTTTGAAGGTGTGTGCAAGCTGGACGGCTAAAAATATCAAAGTAGCCCAGGGCAGGCCCAGACCTGGGAGAGGATGGGCCGATCT